GTCTATCGATAACGATTTTTATTTAGATATGAAGGCAAGAATGAAAACGACAGAAAATGAGCATATAATAATTGCGGACTGATGTCACTTTTAAACATACCATCTGGCACTCAGTGGTCAAAATGCTTAATGAAAACTGGTACGTATGGTATCTGTGTACGTAATGATAGTAAATGAGTGTTTAATAAAACATTCTTCTATTAATTGGCAGAATTGATTTGTAGGACAAATAATGATACCAGTTGTTGAAGTACTAAAATACTTCGGTATAGAAAATCAATATTGTTTCATGTTGAATCGTCACATGACGACAGTAATTCTAGAAGTCGTAGCTATTTAAGAATAACATGACAATATTTTTTAATAATAAATAAACGCTCTACCATTTTACTGCAGTTATTTACAAGACAGTAAAAATAAGTTGGATCCCGCTTAGATCTGCGATCCGGCAAAGCACAAATTGATCTGAAAATGATACTTGAAATTAATACATGACCACGGTTACCAAGATTATAATTAGGTATGCGTCTGTCGCGAATGCTTTGTATAGATGATGAACTGTTATTGAAATATTTTATTGTAATGAATTCTTACTTCATAATGCTTCAGTCGAGTAGTTTGAGACTTATGCTCTAACATATATTTCGGTTATTCATATTATGTTAAACAAATATAGCCTATTAGACTCGCAAAAGAATGGCAATGTGATAAACGGTAGAAAAACAACGTATAATTGCTTTTGTGCTTATGCGACACTAAGTCGGTAGGTAGGTACCTACCTAGATACCTGACGCTGACCAAAGGTCTTCTATGTTGATCATTAATGAATAATGGTCTGAATTCAATTAGTCATTAGTTTGTTTTATAAACTGTGAAGTGGAAAAGAGTGAAACTACAAAGATTGATACGTTATTTTGATGTCTCCATTGTTACACTTTTAATGAACATGTTATAGAAGACTAGTTTTTTCGTGGAATAGTGACTTCCTGCAGATTTTTGGTATAAAAACTATCCTATGTCCTTTCTCAAGTTCCAAACTTTGGCTGTACCAAATTTTACAGCAATCGTTTCAGTAGTTTAGGCGTAAAGAAAAGACAGAGTTACTTCCCATTTATAATAAGTATTAGTTTTGATTGGTAGGTTGGTAATTTGCGGTTTCTAATACCACAAGTACCACAAAATTCTCGTTTTCAATAATGCGCAGTAATTAAATACAATAGTAATGGCACAAAAAATCAAGTGATTTTACTATTTGAAATGGTTTGATAAAAAATCACTCGATGATAAAACAAGTGCAAGTTAGAGATAATAGAATCTTATGACCGGATCTTTACTACGCTACGAGGCCTTACGTTGGTGAATGGATTAAATCCACAGTTCCACGTTTGCAATAAACAAAGGCCCTATCAGTGTGTGAGTGTAGAATATTGAAATCAACGTGTCCTAATACGTTTGTTGGTTGTTATCTAATCTGTGTGATGTTATGCATCATCATAACAGATGTTCATATCGAACAAAAATATATAATTGTATTATATAGCTCTTTTAAAACATGTTTTTTTGGCGTCCACTACAAGCTTGTGACGTCATCACTATCCACATGAATATGCGTAGGAAGGATAACAGATTGTATAGTATTTATACGTGATTATAATAAAAAACCGAATATATTTGGATTTTTTCCATAGATAGCAGATCTGTTTCTGATTACATAATTGGAGTTTTCACAATAAACACTTTCTAATTTAAATATTTTTGTATGTTAAGTTTTGGATTATTATGAAGTTAGTTTTGCAATTGTTTTCTGTCTCTCAATGTTTGTTTTAAGTCCATAACGAACAAACATTGGAAAAACAAGACACATTTCGTCGGTGAAATGTTGCGAAGTTTCTCATAAATGGTTGGAAAAAAACAATTTTCGACTTGAACGTTTCGTCCTTAAATTATGTGCTTGACTATGTATAATGTCAACTTATGTGAGACGAATCTCGCTACGGAGTACCTTACTCTTATCGAATGAACCCAAGGCCTTTCACTGAGTCCATATATGCAAATGTTACAAGTTTCCTTAAGTTATATCTATAGTTTTATAATTCTGAAGAATTTGCTAACTTTAAAATCGAGTTCTTCTTGTGTAACCTCATCTCCTAAGCAAGCTCATTTTGGAATAGCAGTTAGTAGTAAGTAATTGACATTGTGGCCACTCCAGATTTTGTTCTTCAGGTCTTCAGCATTTGCAAAATTAAAGCTATGATATCACCCTCTTGTTTATTATTTAAGTAAGTATACGTTTATGTAAAAGAGTAACATCTCAACAAGAGTTAAATATTTGCACAACTTCATTAGATTAACGTTGATAATAAATGCGTTACTCGAGTGCATGTGTACCTAAAATGCACTAAGAACTGTGTAAGGATATCTCTTAATGCAAATAATATGAGTCTCCGGTGTGGTACAGTCATAAGTATTTATGTATATTGAGTAGACATCACACGGTACCATTTAGAAATGAAACCGGTATTTCAAGTGTTGTTCTTATTAATACATTTTGATATCAGCGAATTCGGTTTTTCGAAGCTTGACGTAATTTGCACTATGTCCTTTGTATGTTATTAATTGTAGCCGAAAATATTTATCTGTTTTTTATATACGATGACTATACAAATTCTTAATATCAACATAATGCAGCGTCATTAATATTTGAGTATTTTATTAATCCTTTGTGGACGCTTCATCATCTCTGGTTCACAAGAGGTCAGAAAAAAGTTTCTTTCGTTTTATACTTTTGTTCCTTTAGTTTGTCATGGCCATATCATTTGTTATTCTTATGCAAAACCTTAGGTCGGCGTGAGGTCATACAAATACCTTCCATTCTTAGTTTCTACCACAATTGTCCAGTCTTCTAGCGAGTTTGTTTTCAAAGAAAATAGAAAAGAAAACTGTATAGAAAATTGTTACTGACCTTTTGTTGATAAAACAAATAGCAGTAGTTCATTCTCAGTTAGCGATAAAATATGGCAATTTGCTTATACTTTATTGTGTACCATAAAAACATACAGGACAAGTGGTTATATAATGTGTATAATGGGCGGTCTTATTGCTAAATGCAATTTCTTATAGACAACCTTTGGATCGAGCCAGTGATCAGGATTGATCAGCAACATTTGACATCAATAGTGACTCCGATAGCAACGCTTTTTTGAGACGCAATGACGTAATTTGGAATGCTGTTAGGCTCGTTATTACACTACAATTAACTATATCACTGTCCATTGTAGAGTAATTAACAGCGAAACCAATAATTTTGTCCAGTAACTTAATGTTGATATGTTAATTGAAGCAAATCATAAATGCCACTGGTGGCAGACTAGACCCAACTTTGGTGGTCGAAAACCATTCACAAACCATAAATATTTGACACAAACCATAAACAGGGTCTTTTGCAACTGAATACAGTCTGTGGTCTGTCTGTTATTGAAGCTAGATGCTCGTTCTAATATGTGGATTTGAATGGAGATAACAAAAAACTCATTGATACATTAATTTATCCAATATTTTATAGTACGAAAAACAATGATAGAATCTGTGGAGTTGACTATTTTCATGACATATAATATGTACAATTCCGTGTTGTAATACGATTTACAACACGATATAAGAGCTAGGTGGGCTAACAGTTGCTCTAGGTACACTAAATAAACCTTCGTTTTTCTCATAAGATTATGGCATAAATGCATGATTAGGTCTATAGATGTTTGTCATAAACATTATGGTCACTGAACAAATCTTTTTTTTACGGGGGATAATCAAATGACTTTTCGGATGAGAGGGTGTGTCAGGCTTTTGCTGACCGAAACACCCCATTCCTGCTCCTGCTACATGCCGATGCGCCGCGGCAAGTATTGCGTTTGACCAGCAACCATGGAGTTTTACTTTTTGGGATGATGACAAAAGAGTATTGTTGTTTTTAGAAAATTCAATAGTAAAGACGTACTTATTAATTTATTTTTTTGTTGAGTCATCATCGCTATACTGCATTGTCCATTTAGGAAAACTTGAATTTATATCTTTGCTGCGGTCAGTCCCTCCGTTCACCTGAATATTTAGGAGTTCGGTCACTAAATAAGCCATTTAACACTTAGTAAGGTTTCGTATGAATCCGCTTAAGTGTGTGTTCTACTAACCCACAAAGTTATGATTAATTTATAATATTAATCATATTAAATTTATTCTGTATACAGATTTCAAAGAATAATATTTACTTATCGATCGAGGGACACTTTCTTTCATGCCATCTGTTGCATTCTCACATTCATACATGTGTATTGACCAAATGTTTGTTAAATGCTAATGCTAGCATCTGCGTCGTTAAAGGGGTAAAAATCCAGACTACAATTTACCTAAATAAATTCATTCAGACCCGTTTACTAGTTCTTGGGTGAAAGAGTAACAAAAACTTACTAATTTTCATAGTGGTTTATAAATTATAATGTTAGTAGAATGATACATGTAAAGAGATCTTTTGCGATATGATTCTTTATACACCACAGAGTTCAAGTTATGATTACAATTGCCTTCAGTCATATCTGGGTCTCTAAGATGAATCACAGATTCCGTATTCTTAGGTATGTAGGTATGTACATACATAAGGACAATGGTATCAGAATTGTTTTATGTGAACCTATAAAAGGATTACAAACATTTCTGTCATTGTCTGATACGGTTGATAAATTACTATGGTTGTAAAGTACCATCGTTTTACAATGTAATTATGGAAGATAATTTGAGTGGCCGTAATTACTTACAACATTTTATGGGGTTTCTATGAGATTAACGGAAAAACCCAAAATATTGTTTTAGGAAAACTTACATATTTGTTGATTTCATTACATAATAATATATCTTGTTTGTAACATTTTTGATGTGATTATGACATGACATGTCTTTTACCAATGCTCGAAGTAATCTACAACTAAAAATATATTATTATTTTGTTTCAGTGAACCGTACATTCCTCAAAACCTGACAGGACTTACGATGGGTATAGTGAAGGGAGAAACAGCACCTATGGACGTTGTTCGAATCGAAACAAAGTCCAGTGTAAGTATACATGAGAGTTGCAGTTTATGTAACGTGGCACACGGCCACGGTGTCTCGACTACCGGTGGGGATGTGTTACGTTACAATATTCAATTGACTACGTCCGTCACAACAAACAACAGGTCGCCTCGCGGATACAATTAGCCCCTCGTTGATACGACACTGTTGATATTTACGCTTGTTATTATCTTATAACTTAACTCAAACGCCAACCAATTGTGAGGTTCAGCTAAGGCCGACAATAACAAGTTCTCTCGGCTCGACCATAATATGACGTCAACAGATCCGCTTGTGTTTATTTTTAATGTTTGATTTAATGAGTGTTCTTTTTTTCGCAGATTATGTTTTCGTTTCTTTCCATTGGCTGGGGCCTCCTATCGGACATTGATATTGAAAGCGAAAGATTACGTGCGATCGGTGGCCAAAGGTTCGCTGTGTGGGCCCTAGCGAGACTTGTTGGACTGAGAAAATATAAAGGTGTAGTAAGTTATGCAAAAATTAAGGACGTGAGCAATCTACCTAAACCAAAACAACCGCTCACCCTCAGTCATAGTATCAGTCAGGATGGTGCGCTCGACTCCCCTGATGCGGAAGCGTTCATTGATGCGGATGAGCATTCCGAAGTGTTCGTGAATGCTATTAGCGGCAAACAGCATCAAAGGGTGGATTCGTGGTACTCGGTCAACTCACGAAGGAGCGCGTTCTACAGTACTCGCGGGTCGGAGTACCACAGCGTGACGAGTAGCGGCTCGGAGATGCGGTCGCCTGTGCACGCGTGCATGCACGGGCCTGCCTCACACCTGCCGTCACTGATGTCCCAGCTACCCGCGCACTGGGTGCACGAGCACGGAGAGTTTGTCATGGTGCACGTGTCGTATCAACCCTACATCGGTGAAGACTTTTTGTTTGCTCCGCGATCGCAGTTGGCCGATGGAGTAATGTGGATGTTAATTATCAAAGCAGGGATTTCTAGATCTCAACTACTCTCATTCCTTATGGGTGTCGGCCAGGGCACGCATGCCGATATAAACAATGAATACATCAAGATGGTTCCTGTCAGTGCCTTTAGAATAGTTCCGGAGGGTACGACAGGCAACATTACCGTTGACGGTGAAATTGTCGAGTACGGACCCATACAGGCTGAAATATTTCCAAACATAATTAATGTATTAGTGCCGGAAATGAAATAACGTCACGAAAATAAGTAAAAGGTATTCTTAAAATGACTGATGTAATTATTTGAACCATAACCGAGCCGATGCATGTGCAATATAAGGAAACTTTATGATTCCGAGCAAAGGTTTAAATTTATGGTTGTGTGAGAGATATCTTATTATAATATATTCTTACCAAAAGTAATTGATTGCAGCGGCAATTGAGTTGATCATTCCATGAATGTTGTGATTTATGTTATTAATACAATTTTTTTTATTATGAATTGGTTCAAAAACTGAAAATGTGATATAATTTTGTAAGTGAATTAAAAGCCTAAATATGAGCAAACAGCTGCTAGTCCAGGCTTACACTTCTACAATGAATTAGTGCCAAATGTTAGCACTCTAAATACATTCATTTTAAATTGTAATAAGGAATTGATCATTCACAGTACTTGCTCAACTGTAGAGCAATTGTTTGCAATTTTATTCCTACTTAGGATATGTTTCAGCAATCATGATACTTATAACTACTTTAAACAAAAAATGTATTAAATATAATAAGTAGCTCAAAGCAAACTATGTTAATTTTATTATATAATACTTTAAAACTTTATAATTGCATTTTAATGATAAAGAGAACATAATTTACGCTCTCTTTGTATAACTTATTTAGAATATTTTAGAAAATCTTACTTTTGTGTTGAAGTAATTTTTCAAATCAACTTATTGAAGCTCGTGCATGTTTTGTATAATAGTTATCTTGTTAAGAGTGCAAAATGAATCAGATAATTAGAAAATACAAATGTAACTTGCCATACTTATGAAGTTGAAGTTATATAACTTGCCTTTTGGTGTTATGGACAGAGGGATGGGGAGTATTTTTTTATATAGTTTAGTTTATTTATTAACGTTAAACTGGTTTGGGACTGCTGGTATAACTTAATGTAATTAATTTAGCAGTATTAATTAATCATTATTGTAGCAATTATTTTTTCTGTGATAATAACTATTCTGCCATATTTCATTTGAGTTTTGTATCAAGGCAACTACCTAACCAAACCTTAAATATATGAGAACTGTCTAAAAACCCCATTAAAGGAAAATAAAGATTTAAACTTTGTGATAATTCTTGTTTGTATACTTTGAAAAATATTGTCCATTTTAATATAATATCTATTAATAAAGATTGAATGTACAAAAATAAGTGCTGCTGTTTCTATAGCTTAGAGTATTAAAGAAGTAAGGTTCTATGTACATATCTAGTAGCATTGTTTCATTGGTATTGTCGATAAATATTTTCTGTTCTGCACAAGACAATTATTTTATGTATCAAGTAATAGTGTTCATTTGCACATTAAAATAAAATATTACGTAATAATATATAGTTGTTTGTTACTGGACAAATCTTATTTGTGCATTCCGTAATCTTAGGTGTCTTGGCTTTTTAATACTTATCCAGTCATAAGTTTTAGATTTAAAATACAGTAGTATATTAGCAAATTTTTAATGAATAATGTTGTGAATAAAAGTTATATAATTTTCAATTTTATGGAACTGTTGTCAATAAATGATCATTTCAAAGCTGTTGGAGTTTTATATTAATAAAATGACTGAAATGTTATAACTTTTTATTATAATTTTTATCTGATTAATTACTAAAGTATACTTATACCTAATATGACTTGTTAGTCATTTCAAAAGGAAATAATTATAATTAAAACCAACACACATTACAAAATCATATCTTTGTGATTACAATTTACTTAAATGGCAATTTTACATACATAGACTATAATGAAATATAACAAATTGCCAAAAATAAGGTTTTAATTTCAACATTATTATTTATCTTAACAATAAAATAGTTTAGAATATCTAAACATTTCATTGATATCTCTTAATCTTAGACAGTTACAATCAAAACAGTCTTCATAAACATTTGTAAAATCTTAAACAATTATCTCAATTTGAGAGAATCTAAACTGTCCAGAAGGTTTTGTACTTCAGAATCTACTTGTTCACGGGTGCTAACACGCTCCAGTCTTTGGCAGACTGATTCCAAATCTCCAGCATCAGCTTTCTGCATCTTCATATACTTCAGCATCATTTCAACAACTAAACATATTTCTCCAATTAGGTGTCTCGTCTCCTCAAAGTGTCCAGCCCCACTGGGGCGCATTTGTATTAACTTCAGTTTGCTCTGGGCTAATTGTATAGGATTGTGTCCATTCTTGTCATGCGAACTTACATCTGTGCCAGCATCGAGAAGTTCGATCACAACAGGTATGTGATTAGTGCAAGCTGCAAGGTGGAGGGGTGTATTGCCCAAAGTATCCTTAATGTTGGGGTTGGCACCGTGTCTCAACAAGATTTTAATAACGTCAACATAACCACGACAAGCAGCTAAATGCAATGGACTTCTTTTGTGTTCATCCGAAGAATTTGGGTCAGCACCTGATAACAGAAGTTTCTCCACAAGTTCTGTATTATTAGTGGAGGCGGCGAACCGTAATTTATGGTTTTTGGATGAACACTTTGCACCACTGTACCTATATTTCAGTCTATATTGCCTGGCTTTAGTGGAACACTTAATTTTTCCGACATGCTCGTGCGGTTCAGTTAAGAAGTCTATTGGCATCGGCTGGCCAGCTTGGTTTATGGGTATAGCCGGTGGGCTGAATTCTAAAATGCATTGGGAGTGGTCAAATATTGGATTATCGCTGCTCTCATTACTGGTGTCTACTCCAGAGTCGGCCATGGTACACCAATACTTATTCACCTCAGTAAAAGGTGATAATTTGAAACTTCTTACTTCCTCAACTTTTGTTTCACAATCTATAAAACTTGCACTTGAAATGAAATAATTAAGCATAAAACAAAGTAGAAGAAAGTTAAAATCGACTTGTTTATACTAGGCGAGGAGCTGTCATAATTTTATTTTTATTTCTTTTCTTTCTTTCACCAAGTTTCACCTGATTTTTTTTTTGCTATTGTAACATTGATCATAGATGCAACTATTTTGTCTTGCAATAAATTGTTTTTATTAATAATAATAAATGACCTACGGTTTTATCATATAAACGATAATTTATGATCAATTTTCGTTAATTTTACTAATAAAATTTATATTTAGGATTTGGTAAATTCAATAATTTAGATTTTCATTTATTTTTTATCAACATCAGCTAGAGTGCTCCATCTGAGTGCAATGTGCAGCCAAGTCCAAGTCCAAAGTTCAGATTTTTAAATCATAGACAATCTAAATACTATATAAATATTGCTGTAGAGATTTTAATAACTACCCACTACATATAAAAAGTCATAACATTTTATTTTTAGACTCTCAGTGACATATTTTTGAGACACGAAATAAAACAAACAATGTCTACTGGCGTAGTCGTGTTAATCTTGTACAAAATAACAAGAGGAACGCATCCATATTGCTTCATTAAAAAAAATGGCTCTTGACTGTGGACGAACAAGAGCTTCAATGACAGGTGGCGAATTGACAGCGTATTCGGCCTCGGGAGAAATTTCGAACGTTATTTTTACCATCAATACTGCGTAAATTATAGATAAAACATGCAACAATTAACAGTATTCATGGTAAGTTAATGGTGCTGGCGTTGTGGTTTGAACTTACGATAGATCAGTTATTATGTGTTTAACCTAAAACATTTTGCCGATAGGATATCGAAAGTTCACGTTCGTATATCGACGAGCTGTATTCACCAGACACACCGAAGGTTGTGGAAGCCTTAGTGACGCTGAAGAACTCAGTGATTGGCAGCAATCGACAGAAGAGTTCAGTGATACAGCAAGGAGTAGTGCCGCGTCTTCTTCAGTTAATGTCTGATGAAACATTGGACCCTAACATAAGACTCGAAGCTACTATCACAATAGGTAAAGTGGTCTAATTTACTACATTACTTAATTCATTTTTGAAAATGTTTTATTTTTGTTAGAACTCTAATGCATAAGTCACAACTTGACTTTTATCCAAAAGCTATAATGCTAATGATACTGATAATCGTTGATATTATTGCCCTTGATAATTGACCTGAAAAAGGATATTGTTTTCATGGATTTTGTCAGAGTCTTCACACAAGATAATATTGAGTTGTTTATGTATCATAAATCTGACATTCATTTTTATAAATTCTCTTTTATTCACACAGGTTCACTCGCAAAAGGCACAGAAGAAAATGTAAGATCACTAGTAGAGCAGGGCACAGCAACGGCACTAGTGGACCTTCTGAGGAATGCCCCTGTTGGCACAAAGTTGGCAGAAGCTGGGCTATGTGCACTACGGAGTGTGTTCCTGCATCCACCAGCACCAATATCTGCTTTACCAGCCGACATGAGGCTTTTGAGCAGACTTACACGTAAGTTAAATACATAACATAATAATTTAACTATTCAGATGAAAAATTAATTAATTTTTGCAATGAAAACTAGAACTTACTGATTTTTTAATAAAAACATTATTGAGGTTTGATTTTAAGAATAATTATTTACATACAGCATCAGTATCACACTACTCAACTCCTTACTTACATACTTAGTTGACTGTGTAAAGAGCCCTACATAAACATTACATACATGTTGCTCTATTCATGAGCACCAAAATAATATTGTATTTTACCATTTATGCAAATTTAAATTATTTCAATATTCAAAATAATACAAGCAATAATTAAATCTTCCTAAAGATAATAGTAGTTGCAGATGTCGTAATATTCTGATCTTGGTTCGCTTGAAGGTTGTTTCGACACAACGGTGAATGTTTTCTATGCCACAAGGTCACATGTAATATTCTTACATTTCTCAATTATACCACACATCATATTGCTTGTTCTAGATTTGAGATTCTAAAATGATTGTTATTTATATAAGATTTTTAATGATTGAACAATTACATGGAAGGATGTGAACACAATTATTTTCTAATATTATATGTATACTAGCTATTCTCGCGCGGTTTTACCCCCTGCTCGGGTCCATTTAATTGTAGGGTGATGTTTTGTAGCCTATAGCACTCAGGAATATTGTAGCTATCTATCTATGAAAGAATTTTGGCAATCTGACCAGCGGTTCCAAATATTACCCCCTACATACAGACTTACAAACTTACAAATTTTACCTCTTTATAATATTAGTATAGATAATGCTCAAAACTTCGTGAGAATCAATCAAGGCAGCAGCAATTCATTACTCATTGTGATAAATACTAGTTTAAGTAACAAAGTCAAAAACAGTGGGTTTTCAATTAAAATGAAATCTCTACTTGATTTTATCAACCAATAAAATTACATTTTTATTATTATAAGTCTGCTTCAGAGTGCATGTTGACGGAACTGTCTTTTGATTTCCTTGTTTATTATTTCTGACATATCTATGCCAATAAAGTTCAATGTGAACATTTATCTTTGCAAAATATTTGATAGGCAAATATTTCAAACACTTTTTCATTACATATACATTTGCAGTGAAAAAGAAACTTTATAATTAAAACTGACTTTTTATCTCTGATGTTTAATAAAAACTATAATAAAATGGAAGATTAATTTTGTTCAATGCTATGGTATTCGTTTGCTGTTTGTTTATCAAATAAGCGTTAAGTTATACACATGTTAATAGCCACCACTTTTAATAGCCTGTTGCCTTCACACATATTTGTTACAAAAAAACATATTTGTTGTAAATTGTTACTTAAATTGTACCCAAAGCAAAAGTTACTGTAAAAAAGTGTATTTCAACAATCAACAATTTCACACTTTAGTATTTTCTCTTGTGACGTGGGAGCATTTACAAACATACAATTTCACATAAACATCATACCTAAACCTGGAAGAGCATTTTTTGGCCGTGCGGGAATCAAACCCGCAGCCTCGTTGCCGCTCCTGCGGCAAACGTATATTTTATTAAAAGAAACAACTATTTAAATCTTTAGTAATACGTGACTAATTTAATACCATATATTAGGATAAATTCTAGGCTTGAGGCATACATTTTTAGAAAACGAAAATTAAAAATGAATTGTGTAACTGATTTGAAAAAAGTAACTGTTGAGTTTCTTCCTTGTACCTTCTCCATGGGAATCGACACTTAGGAAAGAGCTTCACCAGAGAACAGACCGACAGACTGCCACATAAAGTTCAACTTTTAATATTTATTCTTTTGTTTGACGTTCAAAACTGGCCATGGTGTTTGACTTTGAAAAAACCCATAATATGCAATTCGCAATAGATAAACAAGGCATTTTATAGTTAAATAAAATTGCAGAAATTGCACGGGAAGGATCACCAACGGCTAGAGCTTGCGTGGTGAGGATCCTCTCGATCTGGTGCACGGGGGCAGGAGAGCAGGAAGCTCTGTGTGCTGCTGGAGCTTGTGAAGCCGCCGCGGCGCTGCTCGCTGCCACTCCACCTGCCGCGCCGGCACTGCCAGCCCTCGACCTACTCGCCGCTATGTGCTTTGAAAATACCAACGTCTCACAAATTGCTCTGAATACTAGGTGAGATTTTTTTTCTTTTTAGTGATATTAATAAGTTTTTGGTTTGACACAAATTAAATGCAATGAATACCAAAAAAAATATATTGAGACTAGTTATCTATTTCGACTATTTCAAGTAACATGAGTTCATTTGATTGTGTGTAAGGTGCTGCATTGTTTACAGTTTAACTTAGCTTTTTCTTGTGTTGCCAATATCATCAAATGACTTCCCCCGCCCAGGTTGGGGTGGACTATTACTGATTAACCTCCCCCCCGTTCCTTCTCCTGCTCTAGGCCGAAGCCACGGTGCCTTATTGCGCTTGCCTCGCAGCCCCGAGTTTTACCTTAGTTAAGCTTGTATTAAAAAAAACACGTTATATCATAGCCCAATTAGGCAAACATATGCCTTGTTAAGGCACAACTGAGAATCAATACATTGAAATTTAGTAAAATAAACTCATATATGTACCAACTTCAAATAAGTTTAAAACACCTTTAAAAAGTATGGCTATATTTTTTTTTAATGTACATATAGTAACGCCAAGTTCTCAAGTATTAAGCATATTAGTTTTTTTATAGCAGTAATATTTTATAGAGGTGTGGCCTTGGCCTTGGAAGTTATTAGTTTTGAGTTGAACTTGAATGACTTCTTCCTATTAGTGGTAAAATTTTACATTAGAACAGCGCCTAAAGATACCTTATTCATGATTATAGTGTTTGGTTCTTTTATCTCTTTCTCTCTCATAGGAGTGAATGAGAAAGTAACTTTGTATTGATTTGTGCTTCTTACCGATAAATCAATCGGTGATGATGTCACTGCATATTATAAATATCACGTTTGGTTAATTTCGTTTTTTGAAGTGAAAGTCTTTTAAGGTTCAAAATTTGTTTTGCCAAATAAAAACCATTTCAATATTTATTCTGTTGTGTGACGGCATTTCTACCGCGGTCTTCTCACCTTATGTAGATCAAGCTGAAGTGAATAATTAATTTTTAACTTATTCAGTTAAACTAGCTTTTTATTTGTAAAGTAATTGGTTCCTGCTCTGCAGAACATTACTCAAATGACGTTATTATATTAATGTTTATATTTAATAGCTTTCGCTATGTGCAACAACTTGATAACTCCAGTTACCAAGTCAAATAATAGCACTTTATACTAATGTGTCTACTACATGTACTTGTTTTATAGCAATCGTGATTTATTTGAATTTTGATAATTTAGAAGCTCAATATAAATGGAACAGTTTTTTAGAGGGGTCTTCCAATGACTTCTTAGGTGAGAGACAGTTAGTAAGAGTCTGCCACTCCCGTTCGCCGCATTGATATTAGTGCAAGCACAATGATATATCGCAATTTGGCCCTGGTTGGCGGGCGAGCTGCCATTCCTCGCCGCTCGCTAAATCTATGACAATTGTGACTTACAGTCTATAAGTAAGATCATTATTAAGTGAAGGCATAAATTTATTGTTTACAGAACAAAAGATCAAAATGTAGTCGTCGTCGTCAGATTTTAGCATAGGGCTGTTTTGTCATTGATTCGACTTTGGCAAAGTTTATTGTCAGTTGCCAAGAAAGAGAAGGGATTTTAATAACAAATGAAAGCGATTGGCATCAGAATATCCATCGTATAAATAAATATGAATTTGAGAACTTATTCGTACCTAATTTATGGGAGAAGGGGTGGGGGATAAGTGCCAGCAAGCATAATAATATCGAATCATATCAATACTGGGCAAAGTAAACTTCATAACAATACTATGTTAGAAATATACACAACTATTTTCTGCCAGTGACTATGCCTTCGTTATTAGGATTTAAACAAAGTGCATTAAAAATAGCCAATGTTTTATTTCAAACTATATCCTATCTTTGTACGAATTTCATCGTAAAGAAAGAGTACCAAAAATCTTTATCTGTCCAGATTTTGTAAAGTCGCATCCCGCGCCGTCGTCGTGCCGGGTATACAATAGTGACCAGTGACAAAGCTTGCCGAGCGTTTAAAGTTAATAAGCGCAGGTAGAAACTACGAATAATAGGAATACGAGACAATAGGTTGACCGTCTCACAATTTACCTGCTCGCCATAAAAGTCTTCCCGTCACACACATGCAAAAGTATTGACCATCATACCTTTCTAAATAGCTGATAATAAGACAAGGATATTTTCCTAGTAATTTGTGCATGTATTTTTTACTAGTCAACATTCTGTATGAAGTAACAGCAAAAATCACAAAAAAGTTTGTTTGGCAAATATAACTATTTGCCCAAGGTTTTGAGGTATTTTTGAACTTTTAATTATTAAAAAAGATCTGTTACATCATCAACTATGGTAATAACTTAAAATTGAGTACAGTCGCGCTGTTAATCGTTTTTAAATTGACTCCAAATGTATCGGAAGTCGTGAATCTAGCAAATGGTAATTGAAAATCCTCGGTTGACTATATAAATCTCTTCTAAACATGATTTTCTCACACTTATGAAAGAAGTGAAGGTGGCTTTTCTTTCTGAGGGGAAAATCAAAAAATGACTTCTCCTACCCAGGGTGGGCCGCGGTACGTTATTGCACTGGACCCGGAACCCCGGCTGAACATCAGCCCTAGTAGGGCCCCGTCTGTTGTGGTCTATTGACTCTTAATTTTGGCGGCCATCCGGTTTCTGTAAAATCTGTGGTCCCTAAGTCTCTCAGTGGGCTTCACAATACCCGCGTTTAGCGCTTAAGATAATTGTTTATAGTGTATTATTTAACGAATTCAAGTGTGTAACGAATATTTTTCTTTGAAGGCACGGTGACAAGACGATACCGGAGCTGCTATCAACACTGGTGTGTCGAGACAAACCGTTGCCTGTAGCGATGGGGGCGGCGAGGTGTCTCACCTTCATGCATCGCGCTAATGCTATACCCGCTGATGATGCTCGGTATGTATTACTTATTTAAATGTAATAATCTGAATTTCACAAATTCATATGACGCTACTCAACAAGGTTCTTAATGTCCTTAGTGCTAGATTTAGACTAAGACTGATGATTGCCTTTAAAGATTTCTTGTTAATATTTATTTCTGTTAATAGGTATATAAATTGCTTAGATATTATTGCAGCTAGTTTATACGTAGCAGTTATTAGATAATATTGTAATTCTATTAAAACCAAATATTTACTCCAAGTTTTAGCTCAGGTTTAACAAACCAGACAAAGCTTTGCTTTAACAAAATTCAGAAATCGCCACTGTCGGCCATTGTCCTTTATAAAACGTAAGTTTTTATTACCTACTGCCACAGTTGGCTATAGAAGACTAACACTTTTATAGCCAACTGTGGCAGTTAACAAGTTAAATTTGATAGTATCAACACAATGCATAAAAAAGCTAACCAAAATTCATGGTTAAATAAATTCTCGGCGTAATATTGACGGAAACATCATGTTCTAGTCTCTGTGTTTACTTTGTGGACAGATATTCAATATTTTGTTACGTAAGTGTTATATTTGTATGAACTTTGATAGGTATCTGCGCGTAGTTCAATGTCAGATTGCTATCGGTACCAAACAAATGTTGCTTGTACTTAAACATAAGTCATGTCTAGACTAGGCTTCGTTACTTTTGAATGGTAAAAGCGAATATCCTAATTATTAATAAAATAACATTTTTTTTTTTAAAAGGCGTGAAACATGTTTTACAATAAATTTTGTGTTTGTCGCCTTATCGAGTAATGGACTTATCCAATGATAGGTCCCTTCTATAAGTCTTAGATAATTTTAGTAGGTAGCCCAAGGTACTAGCTCCATTGTACCATAATATTGAATGGTCATCAAATCTAGACATTAGTTCCAAATCTCCCGACTAATAAAACAATTGAAGGCGTGTGCAATATAGATTATTAGATTTTATTACCAAGTTCGCTTCAGGTGGCCCTAATAAAAGCGTGTTAAAATCTAAATTGTTTGACTGCACGGTTGGTGAGGGGGCTGGGCAACTGACTGCCGTGCAACGTGACGCGGGTTCCGTTCCCGCACGGAACAACTCTTTGTTTCATCCACAAATCTTTGTTCCGAGTCTGAGTGTCATGTGTATGTGAAATTGTATGTTTGTAACCACACAGAAGAAAAGCTGTTTAGGAAAACATTGTACACAAGTATATATTGTATAAAACAATAATATCAACCTTATCTACAATGCACTAGTGTTGTTAATGTATTTTTATTTTGAGTGATGTTCGGTTCTTGACCATTTAATTCTAAGTATTCGGAAATATATAAACATAAATCTTATTTACATAGTATTAAAGGTGATATTCATGGACCATATCTCTTTGTATTACAGAGTGGTGTTCGGTGCTCTGCCTTGCCTCGCCCGCCTATGTACCAAGGACATGCCGGAGGACATCAGGGCTTCGGCGGCCGAGACCTTAGCTTACTTAGCAGAGGTATATACAGTTGCCTCATGTAAGAACATCTTATTCATGAGTAGACTTATTTTATACTACATGTCATTGTTGACTTGTTCCACTTACTATCATAGCATCATCATCAGCATATAAGTACTCACTGCTGCGTAAAGGCCTCTTCTCACACGGAGAAGGTTTGAGCATTAATAACCACGCTTCCTCAACGAGGATTGGCGATTTGAAACTTATAATTAGAAATGATAAGTCCAGGTCTCTTCACGAGGTTTTCCTTCACCGTACGTCAGTGGTGTCTAAATAATCATAGAAAGTACATATAAGTCAGAAAAAGTAAAATTGGTACTTGCCAAATTTCGAAAGGAAAATCATCAAATTACTTCTCCCACCCAGGGTCAGCCGGGAGGGAGTGTCAGACTTTTAATAGTGACTAAAAACCCCCACGTTCCTTCTTCTGCTCTGAGAGTTTTGCCTTACGGAAGTTAGTCGTCGATAAACATTTACTATTAAATTTTATTTATAAAATTTAGAGACTAAGCTACCATTACAGTTACACAATGCGGTAGTTTATTCAACTTAATTATAACAAATTTAAATAAAATGTCTTGATGTGTTACTATTTATCATTTTTATGCACTTTTCAGTAGTTTGCAAGTTTAATTGTCGTTTTTATTAGTGCTCATGGGAATTTACTGGAGTGCCAATCATAATCAGACTGCATAGTTACTTGGTATTAAAATAACCGGTCGTTTATCAGATACTCTTGTGACAGGGCAGGGCTGCAGCTGGTCATTATTTTGTTGAACTATTGAACTTGTGAGGATTGGAATATTAATTATATTATCAATAGTATTAATAATAATCGTCGTCATATGGTAATAGTCATAATAAAATATGTTTAATTGTCATTCTAACATTAAAACAAATGAACAACAAAGGAGTTCATAACTATATGTTAATAAGGATATAAAAAAATGGAAAAAGACCAAAAACACAACTATTAGAGCCTTTTTATCCAGGTTTATGTGTGTAAGCGTAATAATGTATTGTGGATCCGGCCTGTTTAGTCAGTAAGAGTCTGATACTTGCCCCACCCAGGGTGGAACCCCCCCCCCGTCTCCTCAAAGAATAAGAGCCTTTTCATACATTCCGGTGCCTTAGCAACCGCAGTGTGTAAAAAGACACGAAATATAGAAATATTTTTATTCTGAACACAGCAAACTCAATACTAGCCTTTTTTCTACAATTGTAGGTAGACACATCTCTCCAACGACTGGCAGCGATCTCAAATCATTTAATGACGTCACTCGCTGAGATCGTCAACTGTCCCTCTCCAGCCGCTAAGCAAGGTGCCTTCAAGTGCTTCGCGTCGCTCGGTGCTAACGATGAAGATATTAGGAAGAGGATCATTGAAACACACGGTCTGATGGTCCATGTCGTCAATGGAATGAACAATCCTGAAGCATCGGTGAGATATCCTTACTTTTTAAAGTAAATGTATACCAACTTGTCTACGCTATAATCTGTCTAAGGGATTATGACAACACATTTCACATACCGAGCATTACTCTGTGGTAAATATAAATACAATAACAAATATCTTTATTGAACCAAAAATTTACATTACAACAAATAATCACAGTTACTTAAAATAGGATTCCCTGTGTTATAAGTGACAGTTATACATTTCGCTGTTAGCCTAATTAACGGTAATGTAATCTTTATTTCTAAGAGCAAAGAGTATGTTTTCTGTCAAAAAATGTTTACAAAGATTTACAATTTTTTCAACCTTCTCGAATAATAAATTTGAAAATCTGCAATGCGAAATTGTACAGTAGTCACGTCTTTCAAATAATACTCGAGTAACTCATAAAGTCAGTAAATCTACGACGTGGCCACGACATTGGCATTTTTAAAGAGTACCAATTCTGAAAAGAAATATAGTATAATTCAATGTTTACCTTATATTTCAGGTACGATTAGCAGCAGTAAGATGCTTACACTCGCTTTCAAGATCTGTACAACAGCTACGAACAACATTTCAGGTAACAATCCAATATATACCTTCTTTTCTCTTGAAATAAAGCTCAAATTGGAATGAAACATGTAATTCCTATATTATTTTTTGTTTTAGGACCATGCCGTATGGAAACCCTTAATGCAATTGCTGGGTGATTCGCCCGGAACAGAACTTTTAACTGTTGGTTCATCAACACTCTGCAATTTACTTCTCGAGTTTTCACCAGCTAAGGAACCAATGCTCGACCAAGGTTTGTAACAACTTTTATATCTAAGTACTTGAAAAAAATGTTCATATTCCTAGTTTGTAAGTTAGATACTAACTGTTTTTTATGTGATAGGTCGGCAAACGAGCATGCAGATAAACTGATGGTAAGCAATCGGCGACGCCCATGGGCACCCGCAACACCAGAGGAATTACGAGAGCATTGCCGGTCTTTTGGAGATTAGGGATTCGGAGATTTAGGATTTGGGTAGGGATGGGATGGGGGTAATCGAAGGATTGGGCTTCCGGTAACCTCGCTCACACGGCGAAACACAACGCGGTGGTTGTTTCACACGGGTTTCCTGCAAGCCCGTGGTATCACTTCGGTCGACCTCTTCGTGCCGAAGCTTGGCACAACACCTAAACTATATAATGGTTCATTATTTGTATGTTTAATAGTGGGATCATATGTATATTGGTATTGGATGGATACTCTATCTATTATTTTATTTACTTAATCTATTTTACAGGTGCAGTAGAAATGTTGTGTAACTTGACGAAGATGCCCGAAGCTGCGTTACGACTAAATGGAATTTGGGCACTTATGAATATGGCTTTTCAGGTATTTAATAAGATTCCTATTGCGCTCTGCTTGTTATTTGATTGTGATAGTAGTAGTAAACGACTGATCATCCAGTAATAAGCAATCAGAGGCGCCCGCGGCATAAACAAGACTGGGTGAGATACAATAAATGGATTGCCAGCATTTTGGACGTTCCTCCACATGAATTGAACCTCCATATACCTTATATATTTTTTTTTGGAAAATAGATCAAATTGAAGTCTTTTACTTACCTCTAACGTGGCTCAATATGCTTAAAAATATACTTTTATTGTAGGCAGAACAAAAAGTGAAGCAACGTATTCTAAGTTGCCTCGGCACAGAGCAGATGTTCCGCCTGCTTGGAGACAGCGACACCCGCGTCATCATGAAGACCCTGGGACTACTCCGCAACCTTCTCTCCACCAGGCACCACATTGACGCCATCATGAGCGAGTACTCTTCGCAAGTTATGCAGGTATGCAGGCTAACCAAGTTTCTAATACCAGTTCCAGTAATTCCACGAAGTTCTAGTGCTACTAAATTCCAGTTTAATATTTTTAGTTTTGGTATTACTATTGGTGCCAATCACACTCAGTAACATTAAATAACTAAACGAATGAGTAAAAACTTTAAAATATCAACCATCTGATAGACTGTGGGGACGCACATAGATCGACGATAATGTTCAACAGATAGAGTGCAGTTTTGTGCAGTACCCCGTCAGCCTCACACCTCGCCTGGTCGGTGGAACCTCCTTTTCCGATCTTAGGGAACTTAAATAAATTTTCCTTTTTATAAATATACTTGTATGCTTTTGGAAAAAAGATGTGACTATAAATAAATTGTTTTCATTAATTTCAGGCTGTCATAGTAGTTCTAGAAGGTTCCTACCCTGCAGAGGTGAAGGAACAAGCGCTATGCATCCTAGGAAATATTGGGGACGGAGAGAAGGCGAAGGATCTCATCATGGCCAATGAAGATGTACTTAGAAAACTGGTGGACTATTTGGTAAGAAGAATGTTGTGTTATATGTAATTTCATTTGTCATGTATTTATCACTTTCATTAAGTTCGTTCAGTTGTTTCATACGCGTTTTTGTGTAGTTCCGTTTTTTTTTTATAAAAAATCATGACTTATTACGTGAATTAACTGATTAGTCCGCTGCGCGAAGCTACTGGGATGCGCACTGTTGCTTATGAATAAGTGTGGCTGTGACTTGGAACTAGTTTTTTTACTCTCAGTTAATTCTTGTAAGTCGATATTTTCATTTAATTTAATATTGTCTCACGATAGTTAGTATTCAAATAAGTTGCCATTTTTTGTTTTCTTGCAAAAAAGTGACTGTCATCGATTTTCTTTTAGTTGCAATTAAAATTTGTTATTTTTCGTTCTATCACAATATTGATGTCGCTAATTTAAGTACTTTGTTATCAGTCTACATCACAGTGTGTTTTTAATGTTATACTTTTCGATTTTAATTTATATTTCATCAAGATTCCTTCTCCTTTCATGTTGTACATCTACAATCACATAATTAGTATAATGAGAAGCATTATCTGATGCATGAGTGCCTTGCTAAATTGTATCGGTAGGTAGCTCGTTGACGACTTCGTACTGTTTTGGCCACGATTTTGGAAATCTGTAATATTATTATTATTGAAAAGTAGGGCATTGTTCATTTGCCAGTTACAGTTCTACGGTTGGAGAATAATGATCTCAAAGAGTCGAATTTCGCTGTCTTTCTGCAAGGCTTATCTAACTAGCACGTTATAATAAGCGATATGGAATGAGTGATTTTCAAATTGCGAGAAGTATGGCTGGAGAGTTTGAATCTTGTGAATATTAAGCACTTAATTAAATACTATCAATAAAAGTGTGAAAGCGATGGACGCAAGTATGTATGATTGGTAAACCACAGTAGAATATCATAAACTCCTTTTAAAATGCCAGAATTTAACAAAGCCTTTACCCCTACCATCGTAAACTCTAACAATCGAGATATAAGGGACGTTTCTGTTAAAATGAATGTAAATATTCATTTTTCCAAGAATGTCTGATGATGTTGGGATGTTGGCCTTAGGTCCAGGCCTCGAAACAGTCCTGGGGGCAAACATCGACCGAGTACGTCACGAGAGCGATTCAATGGGCGATGCAAAAGACGACGGAAGGTATGTGTTTATGTAAACGATGCGAGTGATCGAATGAATGAACCGCGATATTAATTTACAATGAAATATCAACCTTAAAATTTTCTGACTTATGATATGTTTTCAAATAAATTTATACCAAACGAAGATGTGAATTTTGTATGACTGTGTGTGTCGCTTTTTGTCAGTGTATGCTGTGTTAGACATAATATTTATATAATAAAAGATTCTATTATGCTTATTTAGGATTTTTTAATTTTAAACTTGAGACGTCTCTCGCTTATTGTACTCTACACAAATAAGATGTAAGAATTATTTTCATTTGCTATGGTTTGCGACGTTCATCCAAAAACGACGGCAACCGTTTTTTTGCTCACTAACTAGAGCGTCAAGTTACGTTTGTCCAGTGACATCAAATATTTAATATACAATGGTTCAACAACAGTTAGTTTATAGATTTCACTAGACTACGTGCGGTAGTCCTCAGTTAGTCCCCTGAGCTAGTGTTTCTTAGGTATAGTCAAGGAAAAGAAAAAAAAATTAAGCCATCGCATATCATTAATGAAAATTCGGAAATGCGCGTGATAATGACAAAAACTGGGATGGTCTGTAACGTAAGAAGGATTTCGCGTGTCATGTGGGTCCCGGCTAGGAGCGGGTATTGAAGTATGGTGTATGCGCAGGCGCACCCGGAGAGCAAGCTGCAGGAGGCGGCGCTGTTCGTGGCGGGCAACCTGGTGTGGCGCGGCGAGGCGGGCGCGGCGGCGCGGCAGGCGCGTCTCGCAGACCTCGGCGTCTTGCGCGCGCTCAAACTGCTGCGCGCAAGGCACGACGCCGCTCATCTACACGACAAGTCAGTACTACTATAAGTCTTTTTGTTACAACCTTTTCAATCATTTGCAGTGTATGATTTATGTATTGTATGGCTCTTTGTTTTTGGAGTGGATCTTGCTACTTCATTTTTGACAGATATCCTTTACTGTAAAATCCTTATCAAACCAGAGTCTGATAATGTGATAGTAAATTATAGATCACGTGATATTCTTTCCTTATTGAAGGGTTGAAGATCATATGAATTAGATTTGGCTTTTGGTTACTTAAGATAAGTTTCATGTACCACTAAGCTCAGTGACATGTTATAAAAAGAGTCATGTCCAACACTAGGCGAAAAATCGTCCCGATGTACCCTTTATAGAATATTCGCTTTTTTTGCAGAGTGAAGACGGCCCTGGCGCAGTTTAACGACTTCACATAATGCTGCAAGGGGCACAGGCACAAGCGCACGCGGCGATAGTGTCTGTTAGTTATAGTTACGCTTGTGATCCAGTCGAGTACCGACAGTGAGTTATCCAGTCATAAACCTTATGATATTACGACACTGCGTCTAGCTTTAAGTATTTAATTGTACATAAAATAAGTTGACAAATTGTTATCTCGACGACGTGTGTTATTGAACTATTTATTGAAATAATTTATCCTGTAGTCGTCACCGTTCATCGTCACTAACTCTTAACGTTTCGTACCATTTTAATGTAACATTTGACGAGTATCTCCCAAAGATATCGATACGCGTTTCCAACGACAGAGGTGCTAGCTACCCTCGCGAAATGTTTATTTTTGTGTAACTAGCGGAATGTAGTGAAACTACAATAGCGTAATTTAGTTAGTTGTTGATATTACGACACTTTTTATATGCGTGTGTTTTACGAAATCAGCTTATTCGTATACATTGTCCGACAGTGGATTTATGAATCTTGAAATTATTACTTGAATAAATCAGTATTGTAATGTACGATGTATTGCTACTGTTTTATTTCATAATCTTATACTTGAATAATATTTTGCTCTACATCAATTTCATGATCATCGTTTTGTTGATAGATGTATGACTAAATCTGTGGTAGAACCAATAAAAATATCGTTGTAAAAATTGACGTAAAATATTTTGGGAATAATTGTCCTGTGATGACTAATGCGTCTTTAAAATGTCGTTATAACCGCGTGTGTGAAATCCTAGGTAGAATAAGGCTCGGTATGAAGGGTAATTAAAATATGGGAAGGCTGTGTTGGTCAATGTGCTTATTAAACAAGTAACATCGTATCCACGGTCGGACGATAAAACGTAAATTGGGAACGAAATAATGGCGATCACTCATTTCCTTGTACCTGAGATACTGTTTGTGTAAATAATTGTTCGGAGACATAAGGAATGAGTTTCGCGCAATTTAGAACGAGTCTCTTAGACGACGGTAAACAGGTAGCTTTTGATAACGCATTGAATGTATGTATGTATGAATGTATGTACTGTAGATAAACTAACGAATAAATAAATATTGCCTAGCGCTTCTCAGTGTATTTTCGTGTCTATATCTTGCATATGAAGAGTACGGTTGTGGGACAGGTATATCTAAGCGCTAGGAAATATATATTTATCTATCCTTATACTTTCTTACCTTCAAAATAATAGCTTATGTGCATATACTTTAACTACAGAATAGTAAATGTATTCGATGCCAACGCTGTGTAAATGTAATTCTTCCATTTCTGTGTATCTCAACTATATTTCTATAATCAAATGTTTTCCGGTTGAGCTTTGAAAGCAGGGCTGAATGGAGTCAGTCTTTACCTTGTAATATTTGTTAAAGTTTTTGAAACTTCATTAACTTTTTCTTTAACCTGTTCCTTTTCAAGTCCAACTGATCAGTTAGACTGACGTGATTTCTTACATTGATGTTAATCTGATGTAATTTAACACATGTAACCCAACTTTAGACATATTTTTTTCTAGTATTTCTCGATATTGAAAGTTCCACGAACAATTTCGAACACGGGTAAATTGCTAATACAGTTTGAAGAGCTCAAAATATCGATAAATATCTTAAATAAATATGGCAAGTTGGTAAAGTTGTGTATGGATAGTTAAGAACGAATCAAGTTAGCTTTATAACATTTTTTTGCTCATTCGTTTATGTTAGAGAAACGCGATTTATCGCAATGTATATTATGTTCTTTTGGTTCTTTTTCGTGTTATTATGATGACAGTGTTTTCACACTTGGTTGCTAACCCTGTATATTTATTTGTTGTCTTAATGCCCAAGGTGCAATTTGTAGTGTACAATAATAATTCAGTATTGTGCTTTTGTCTGTGTTCTGTTAAAAATCTTGAATTCAAGGATTTTTATCCTTACTTATTCGAATGTAAGTAAAATTTGGTCACGGTTAGTATCTTTGTATCTTGGTAATCAATGCAATCAAGTGTGTTTAATTTTTGATGATTATTTTGTAAATTATAAAAATTATGTTCAAATGACTGATAGATTAGGCTAATTCTTTGACGTAATATGTATGTATGGGTTGTTCAATGAATGAGTCGTGTCATCAATTTCATTCTTTCTCTATTATATTGTAAGGTTTTCTGTTCTCTTCAATAACCGAGATGTTAATTTTTCTCATTACTTTGACGATGTAAATTCTGAAATTGTAAAATTTTATTATTTATGACAAGTTACGTTTTTCATGTTAATATGAAGATAATGCGAAAACAATTTGGGTTTTATTTCTACTCACCCTTTAACTATATATATTTTTTGTATGTTTCATGAGTACAATTCCTCGAAAACCTTTGGACATGAATTGGGTAGTTTCCTAGGTCAAAAATAAATTAATTCGACGTTTCAATACAATAAAATATTGAAAAATAACTATACTTTTACGTCGATTGATCGATACACTGAATTTTAGATACTTTTAGCTAATTTTTAAGAAATAAGTAAGCTTAAATTTGACGCAAAAAAACTGTGACGTCAGTTTTGTATACAAATTTCATAGAAAAGTATCGCTTTTGACATTTGGATAAAAGTATTGGATTTGACTAGTTTGAAACTACCGTATTCTACCCATATACATATCGTAGTGTTTGAGAGAAACCGGCGCAAAACAATTGAACGATTGCGTTGTGTTGCAACTACTCAATTCCTTCAAATCCTCAAATCTCAAATCCCGGTAGTTCACTCGTAAATCCTCTGGTGTCCATGGGCTACACAAATATGAATAATATAAAAGAAAAACTATTCTGTTCCATTACCCCACACTTTATCAACATTGGCCAGTTATTGGTGCAATATTTCTCTTCCATGCCTATAATGGCTTGGCCACGGCAGCGGGAAGCGATCGTCACGTACTATCGTACTGACCCACGTAACTAACCACAATGCAGGTAAATTGTATTTATTTATTTTTACTCTGTTTAGTATGGTCAAAGTTTTGTTTGTTTTCTTTTCTGTTTTGTAGATTTTCTTGTAGTGTATATCAGGGGTGTTATTTTTTGGTTGCACTGATGCTAGGTATTCGAGAAGTGTCGACGTAAACTGAAATCTTATATTTTTTTTTGTTCCTATACAAATATGCGGTGGCAACAACTAGTCGAATTTAATACCTATTGCGGTACATTTTGTATACATGAGAGTAATCATAATACGGTAGTTTCGAACTAGTCAAGTTCAATACTTTTATCCAAATGTCAAAAACGATACCTACTTTTTTTGTGAAACACGAGTTACCTATGTATTTTAGCGTCAAATACGAAAAACTTGCCCACAAAAAGTTGAACTAAACATTTTATTGAATTCACTTTCCTGAAAAAAAACCGGTGTTAACGTTTCGGGACAGCGAATAGTGGCTTTGAGATTTAAAAAGAAAATAGCAGGTTCTTATTGTATTCATATTATTTAATTTGTTATACTGAACGTCTTAAGTACCGATGTAACTGTTTGGGCGAGCTTGGCTGTGTGATGGCGAGATAACATTTAATCCTTACTAGAGACTACCCACTTACGGGAAACTTGTGTAATTTGTTTCCACTGTTGATAATATTAATCCTTTTAGCCTTACTTTATAACCTTCAAACTACTTGAATCTCAGTATTATACTGAGGAAATCATAACATAATGAGTTACTTAATTAGGTGTAAGCAGTGAATTTGGTTGAGTAACGTAATTTTAATCTTACAAAGGCATCTTAATTTTAATAATAAATTATGTTTTTGTCTTTTATCAGTATTTTGTCGCAGTAGCAATGTAATTACCATCTCGGTCGTGCCTTTAGGCACCTACAATGAGATTAGATAATAAGACTTTCATGAAGATTTAGATTACAAGCAAAAAATATTGTTTGGTTTAAAAAGGTGAAGGTTTTTTGTTTGTTAAGGTCCCTCAAAGAGTTTAGCCTTCGGCTCAAAACCTCTTAAATATCAAGAATAGCTTCGTAACCTTTTAACAATCTTGAAATCTGCAACTACTGGGGAACGTCCACGTTTTGTGATCGGCCCGTCCGGCGGCCATTGTAGTCTCATGTATAAAAGAGCTCTTTGCATATTTGACCTTGCGATGCATATCGAAAGAACTAGCGAAGTAAGCTGTTTGATCAAGCCGCAGAGGGATAAAATGAACATTAGTGGAATTTGAGAAGGTAAGATATTGGAAGGCGGTTGCGAAAACTGTCGTACTTCATAATGTTAAAGGAAAATTATATAAAAAGGTTTTTAAGTTCATATACGTGTTTAAATTTCTATGTAGATTTTCTCTTTTCGTCGTAGGTATTGTTTTTTCTGAGGATCGTGATAATTTTTATGGATAAGTATTTGTTTGTAATTTTCGTAGTCGCACTTTCGCCAATTAGGTCTACTTCAATGGTTTTTTTTCGGGGGAAGGTATTTAGATTGCTCGTCTTCCTCTGGGTGGGGCAAGAGGTAGTGACAGACTTTTACTGACTAAAATGCATACCGTTGCATCATCCTGCTCCAACATATCCTCATATATCACAGCACTTATTAACCTAATAAACTATCTTGATAAATTTCTGCATAGAAGTATCATTCTTATTCGTTCTAATAGGAAAGTGCTGTTGTCTCACATTATTTTTCCTTTTTTTCAATATCTGCTGAAAAATTAGACCTATCAAGAGTTGTTAAATAAAAAGAATGTGAAGAATGACATTTCCATTGGTCTTACGAAAAAGTTTTATTTGAGCACCAGAATCGGGTCCTTGAATAATTTGTCCCTGGTTCAAAATAACTCCCTGTATAAAACGCAAATGGCGGACTCACGACACTAACTCCTTGGTGTTGCGGAGTTCACGGGCGGCGACGATTGTTTACCATCAGGTTATTCGTGCATTCGTTAGCCGACCTACGTTTTACACATAAATCATACCTACATCTTCTTTAACACAACAATGAACGACCTAAAATCATCCCTAACCTTACACACCTACACACATAACTACTTAAGTTTATACATAAAAAAAAAAGGTGTTTATTTTGTCTCTTACATTTTCTTTACACATGTGAATGAAACAGCCCCAGTAAGTGGTTAAAAACACTTGTGTCGGGGTTGCCTCGCTCCTCCCCTGAGTTACTTTACATTATTGAGACGTAGACAATTTCGGTAGACATTAAGGTACAATTTAGACCATAACTATTTATACAAAACAAAAACATATAAATTAACAATAATAAGGTACACAGAAGAAATAATAATTATAGTAATTTAAATTAAATAAAAGTAATGAGTCAAAGTCTTAAACAAAGAATTTAAAAATTTTTCTTACAGTTCAGATACAAATTATAAACTAAATTAAATCTCAATTTTCAAAGTTAATAACAATAATTATGACATCTATTATAAATCAGGAGTAAAATTAAAAGTTAAAAGTAATTGCTTTTTTTTATATGTTTTACAAGGCTCATTGTGTTCAGATTGTGCACAATGCGTGTGTGTGTGTGTGTGTGTGTGTGTGTGTGTGTGTGTGTGTGTGTGTGTGTGTGTGTGTGTGTGCGCGCGTGTGTGTGAGTGTGCGCGCGTGTGTGTGTGTGCGTGTGTATGTGTGTGTGTGTGTGTGTGTGTGTGTGTGTGTGTGTGTGTGTGTGTGTGTGTGTGTGTGTGTGTGTGTGTGTGTGTGTGTGTGAGCCATGTGTTATAGTTGCTTGACAATAGTCAAGCAAGTCTAGCCAAAATCAGTTCCGTTTGGTCACACGTAAGAGATTGTAGCCACTCGGTAATCACGACTTTGCATTTTTGTGAGACCTCCAGGTGAAAATGTAGTTCCGCGTTTATTTTATTATAGATGTAGGCCGACTGGCATGCGTACTGACGCCTCGCAAAGGCCGTGTGAACCCTTGAGGAGCAAGCCACATTGTGTTTTCTCCTTCTAGACTGTCTTTCCTGGTTGACTGGAGTATGTTTGTGTAGATACAGTATAACGTTTAAAATGTATAATTTTTTTTTTCTTACTGATAATAGGCCACTTATTGTATACAAATCAGTTGTGGGAAATCTGAACGGCTTGAAATACATAACCTTTA